CCCATATTTTGTATTCAGACGTGAAATAATAGAAAGTGTCACGGACACTGTGGGAATTAATGCCCTGATGTGATCAAGTCTCTTTGCACACAAACAGTTCAGTTTTGTCCATAATATACATTTACTGAAATAATGTATCAATGAGAGGGGCGACCAGACATATATCAAATCAATAAAATAAAGATTATTACATAAAGATAAGTGATAAGGCTGTAACGATTCATTCGCATATTCGGTGAATCGAACCGTAGCCCTTCATGAATTCAATTCGTTATTCGTGGTCACCAGAACCGAATATCCATGAATATTTACGATTTTTTTAAAAGAGCATGTTTTACTTGAACCCTTATGTCCTTTCCAAAGTGAGATATGCAAGAATGGAATATGTACTTGCATTGCAGTAGTGCAAGTTAGTTTGCCAAGACTGCACATGGTACTGTTGTATATAACCATTACATACCAAATTCGAGTGTCATGAGATCACTGGTTATTGCTGTGACAAATCAAAACTGTCAACATGGGCATTTCATATTGTACATCAATCACTTGACTACAATATTGTATTTGTGAATGATTATTCGTATTCGTTACCCAGTATTCATGATACGTATCATATTCGCCACATAGTGTATTCATTGCAGCCCTAATTAAGTGATCTATATTTGAAAAAACCTGATATGTAGATACACACTGGGACACATTTGGGGTAATGCGAATGTACAGACACTGTTCAGGAATACCTGTTTGATTCCTGGCAGTTATATGATTTACAAGTAAATATAAGAACTGCATTTAGAACAAAACATCAATCAAGTGATACTGTTAATAATTAATACAGCACTCTTTTTCATGGACTTTCCGTTTGAGTGTTTTTTTCTAGTGAATATTTTAATAGTGAATGTTTACCTTCAAACTGCTTAGCTATACATGTATTTTGAAAAAAATGAAGGAATATTTCATCTGTGTTTAGGCCTACAGTCTATCAAATTACTGAATTGACATTGTTAAATTACACGTAAGTGGAATCACATGTGTTTTCATGGTTAACATGTTACCTGGCTAAACGGACCAATATTTCTTTAAGGAGACTCGGTGTGGTGTGATTTATAGTTTGTGGTTCTTTCATATTGCTCTTTCACATATGTTTCACGTTTCAGTAAAGTGTATTGATCAATGCCTATCAAGAATTCTTAATCAGGTTAAGATCAGTACTCAAAGGATTTTTGTATTTGTAAATAACTGGTGATAGTTTACCCCAAAGGTTGTGCATTATTGTCTACTGGTAATTCCCACCAACCTTTAACTTTCATAAAAACTCTTGATCTCTCTTTAGATAGGCTAATATTGTCCACAATCACCAGTAGCTAAAGTGACGACTTAAATCCTACTGGGGTATGTGCAGGAAGTTGAGGTACCGCAAGTCCCCATGATCCCCAGTGAGGTGGCCTAGCTTGGGTTGCTGGTGGCAATAACCAGTGTCTTTGAAAGTTGTAGATGGAACTGTCACGTGGTGAATCGTTCATGACAACTTTGTACCACAGAGAATAAGAAAATCCCTCCGCCATACGCATTACATGAAAGAGTTGTTACCTGGTATATAACTGCTCAGCACACCTGATAAATAACTTTTAACCACATGAAGTGTTTTTGACATCCTGATATGCGTAAATTGCAAAAGTATTACTTCATATGATGCATGCGTTCATGGCAGTATTTGAATGTGACTTGTTTTACCTGCATTGTTACCGGAGAAAGTTATCATGATCATCTGGATGTTGAGATACCATGTCAAACAATAACATATCTGGCCTTGTTAGCAACATCACGTATTCTCAAATACAATATATGAGTTATGGTTACACTATTACACAATACCGTTATAGGGCGTGGAACTGGTATATCAATATATTGAGTGAGGACACTTTTAAATATTAAGATAAGAACACACCACTGTAAACAGTACCGCCTTGTTGTTTTTCATTCTTTGTAAAATTTCAGTATAGTGACGCTTATTCCTTATTCGAACAAACACTTCCTGAAATTGTAATTAATCTACAAGAATTCCTTTTATCCATAATGTCGAAAGTGAAAAAAAACTCAAGACGCTTCAGATATTGGTGGGTTGGTTTGATGTTCAACGCTGCACTCAACAATATTCCAGCTATATTTTGGAACGGACTAAATTATACAAATTTCAGTAATAGGCTGGACATCAGAGTATATAATATGTACGAAATGACCACACCATAAACACTCGTCATAGAGGTCGTCAATTGGCGCCGTTGTTCGGAATAGCCCGACACGAGTGTTCGGAAATGCCCGACGTCATTGTTCGGAAATGCCCGACGAGAGTGTTCGGAATAGCCCGACGTGACTGTTCGGCAGAGCCGACATGAGTGCAAAATCTGAATATTAGATCGTGTCAAGTATTTGCATGAAACAGGTTTACTGGACGGGATTTACTCATCTTCAAACGTGAATATGATACACATTGAGAGGTTCGTTAATACCCGACAACGCTCTACGTGGTGATAACTGGTCGCTAACCAGTACACGAATAGGCTAGAATGCACTTTACCGGGCGCAGCCCTCGCTGCTCCCTTTATGATCCTTAGGGTTAGGGTTTAGGGTCAGTGTATGGCACCCTTTACGATCCTTAGGGTTTAGGGTTAGGCACCCTTTACGATCCTTAGGGTTAGGCACCCTTTACGATCCTTAGGGTTAGGGGTTGGGGTTAGGGTTAGGGAACCCCAGCAGCGCTAATTAATCTGAAAAAGTGCGCCGGTAAAGTGAAGTACTCCCATCGCCATTACATCAGTATCACACGTGCGCAGTTCCGGTCAATTACAATTCCAGTATTTTTGTTACTTGCCGTGAAGAATTTTCTTTTGCTGTCCTGCATTGTTGTCAAATATCGTTGGGAAAATACTGGAATTGTAATTGACCGGAACTGCGCACGTGTGATACTGATGTATTGGCGATAACTGGTCGCTAGCCAGTACACCCCACGAATAACAGACGGCTCCTAACAGACAAGTTGAAAATGGGGGGAAGTATACTCACCCAGAGTATTGCTGTACAAAACTGACATGAGTGATAAGTAACACAAGGCATCTTCCATTTCCAAGAATAAAAATCTTGTGCGCGATCCAAAAACCAACAGTTATCAAGTTACAACAGGCGACGAAGAGGGACTAGTAGTGATTGTCTGCAGTTGCCATCAGATCTGAATTCAGTCAAAGCCGTCGGATTATAGCTAAAACCGCAACCTTGCAAAGCGTCGCCTATAAGCGAAAACGGCCACTCGCTTTCTGATAACAGCTGCCTGGCCAAAACGGCACCTTATTTACTTGCTTCTCAATTCCTAACCCCGCCTGCTGGTTTAATTTTAAAGAGGGTGGGTGATTTCAAATTGATGAGTGATTTATTAGATGAGGGACATTTGAACCAATATTTTATACTCTACATAAAAGTACACAATACTATCAAAACATATCCTGATATTTTCATACATAAGGGGCCCCAGGTGGTAGTCAAAATGCCCCAATGTATTTAAAATGATTAAATATATTTGCCATAAATGCACCGTTTTTGTCAGCTTTGATATTATATTATTCATATAATATTATATAGATCTAGCAATATTTCTGAAAAATGTTCCATTAGTAGAATCTAGTGAGTGACTTAATATATAGCATCACATCGGCAATATTGCAGCCATATCGTGATGAGAACAATTTCATTTATAAATTAGATCTATATCAATATTAAAATTAAAGTTGCGGGCAACCTTGAGGGCTCCTTGGCTTGAATAATTTCTAAACATTTGGTACCTGATGTCGAAAGCAGTAACGGTTATAGTTTATGGTGTTTATTTTCGGGTGAGTGTAGATACAATTTCCAGCTAAAAGCACCTCTACTGCAGTGTATTTTAATGTTGTGTAGCGCTAGCTCTCGTCATTGTCAGTTGAAATTGACATCATCTCCCCTATCTGCACGTGGACCACGCTTTGCAGTGGTAGTCTCTTTATGGCAGATATCGTCCCTGCGCTTTCCTTCAGACTGTCGCATGCTTTGCACGGGTATTCTGCCGTGTCGTAAATCTCCGAGAAAGTTATGACACATTCCAGACATCACAAAGTCGGCGAGCGAATGAGTGGATTTGTAGGATTTTGACGGCTGCCTCTAACCACGAAACGGTGATATTTTTAACATGTACCTTAGAATAAAAATTGATCAGCAAACCATATACATATACACTGACAATTTTCATAGCCCTCAGTAGAAAAGCAATCCAGATTAGCCACTGTAGTGAGGAAAATAGAATATTATTTGTCCCTCCGTTGTCTTTGAAGCTATGTTGCTGCAACTGACACTGGCGGCATAAATGCACATCCCAATTTTGGTCGATCAAACGATCAAACTTTTTGATATGCATGTAAGAACACGAAATGTTAAGCATCTTATGTTGATGCATACCGCCAAGTCTTACTGCCTTCTGTACGGAATCTGAGCAGCTATGCTGTTTATAATGTAGCATCATCAGAATCTGACGAAATCCAATATGGCCGCCAAGCAATACACATTTTGACATGCACCCAAGAACAAAAAATGTTCAACACACTTAGTTACTACGTACTGCCAGATTCTAGCTGCATAGTTGAAATAGTTATGACGCTGCGATTTTTCGAAAATACATTTTAGTACAAAATAAACAACAGAAGCAAACATCTAGATATCCGTAACTAATCAAGATATCGCAACATAGCTTATAGACATTAATATTTAAGGTATCTAATGTATATCTGCACATTTACAGCATTCTGCATTTCATACATTCAGAGTTATGGTTTGCGAAAAATGCCTACCCCACAAAATCTGCACATTTCCGATAAACGTCTTCAATCCAATATGGCCGCCGCATCACGTGACTTTTGACATAGGACCAAGAACAGAAAATGTTTAACAACCAAAGGCCACTTCAGAACAAGCGTTTAAAGTGTTGTATGTGCTAAGTTTAGTTTGGCACAACATGGCAAAGAAGCCCGTGAAAGTGTTTGAAGACAACTTTTGCCCAAAAGTAGCGTCCAATATGGCGGCCATCATATAAACATAGGCACATTTGACGATGCTACTGTGTAGGAACATGCATAGACACAAAGTATGCAACGTTTGAATGCCGTAGCTCTTGTAGTGTTAGTGCAGCACATTTTGGGAGGTATGTAGTCAGGATTTTGCTGAAAAACATCAACAAAAACTTCAATCCCAAATAGCGTCCAAACGGTGCATTTTAGCGACTTGAGCCGTCCAGGCGAAATTGTAGGCATTTTGATTGCGCATCTGCTCCGGAACTTTGGCAAACATTGGAGCATTAGTTTTGGAGATATTTGCATTTGCGTTTGAAATTTTGGAATTATTTTTGAATTATCTGCCCTTTGCTATTGGGCCTACAGCCTACAGATTTTAAAGCGCGATATGTACACCTCGGTGGGCATCTGGGTGAATTTTTTCAAGGCATTCTGTCCAGCGGTGCTCTCTGTAGCTCTGGTACAAAATACGGCGGAAGAATAAATAATAATAATAATTAAAGTTGCGGGCAACCTTGAGGGCTCCTTGGCTTGACTAATTTCTAAACATTTGGTACCTGATGTCGAAAGCAGTAACGGTCATAGTTTATGGTGTTTATTTTCGGGTGAGTGTAGATACAATTTCCAGCTAAAAAGCACCTCTACTGCAGTGTATTTTAATGTTGTGTAGCGCTAGCTCTCGTCATTGTCAGTTGAAATTGACATCATCTCCCCTATCTGCACGTGGACCACGCTTTGCAGTGGTAGTCTCTTTATGGCAGATATCGTCCCTGCGCTTTCCTCCAGACTGTCGCATGCTTTGCACGGGTAATCTGCCGTGTCGTACATCTCCGAGAAAGTTATGACACATTCCAGACATCACAAAGTCGGCGAGCGAGTGAGTGGATTTGTAGGATTTTGACGGCTGCCTCTAACCACGAAACGGTGATATTTTGAACATGTACCTTAGAATAAAAAAATGATCAGCAAACCATATACATATACATATACACTGACAATTTTCATAGCCCTCAGTAGAAAAGCAATCCAGATTAGCCACTGTAGTGAGGAAAATAGAATATTATTTGTCCCTCCGTTGTCTTTGAAGCTATGTTGCTGCAACTGGTACACACAACGTGCACTGGCGGCATAAATGCATATCCCAATTTTGGTCGAAATCGGATGGGTGGTTTCCGAGTTACGGGTGTTGAAAAGCTGGAAAACATCAGCTGTGAGGACTGGAAAACTTGACCCCTGGTCGGCTGGGGGTGATGTACCTTTTAAGAAGTTCCGGAGAAGAGATAGTTCGCTCTTTGACAGGCCGTAGCTCCGTTGTCCTGGGGTCTACGTTCAAAACAATTAGTGTTCTGGAATCGTCAGAACTTCAGCTATCAGACGCACCGTTTCAAGTGTCCAAACGGTGCATTTTAGCGACTTGTGCCGTCCAGGCGAAATGGTAGGCATTTTGATTGCGCATCTGCTCCCGAACTATATGGCCGACAAACGATCAAACTTTTGATATGCATGTAAGAACACGAAATGTTAAACATCTTACGTTGATGCATACCGCCAAGTTTTACTGCCTTCTGTGCGGAATCTGAGCAGCTATGCTGTTTATAATGTAGTATCACCAGAATCTGACGAAATCCAATATGGCCGCCAAGCAATACACATTCTGACATGCACCCAAGAACAAAAAAATGTTCAACACACTTAGTTGCTACGTACTGTCAGATTCTAGCTGCATAGTTGAAATAGTTATGACGCTGCGATTTTTCGAAAATACATTTTAGTACAAAATAAACAACAGAAGCAAACATCTAGATATCCGTAACTAATCAAGATATCGCAACATAGCTTATGGGCATTGATATTGGAGGTATATATTGTATATCTGCACATTTACAGCATTCTGCATTTCATACATTCAGAGTTATGGCTTGCGAAAAATGCCTACCCCACAAAATCTGCACGTTTCCGATAAACATCTTCAATCCAATATGGCCGCCGCATCACGTGACTTTTGACATAGGACCAAGAACAGAAAATGTTCAACAACCAAAGGCCACTTCAGAACAAGCGTTTAAAGTGTTGTATGTGCTAAGTTTAGTTTGGCACAAAATGGCAAAGAAGCCCGTGAAAGTTTTTTTGAAGACAACTTTTGCCCAAAAGTAGCGTCCAATATGGCGGCCATCATATAAACATAGGCATATTTGACGATGCTACTGTGTAGGAACATGCATAGACACAAAGTATGCAACGTTTGAATGCCGTAGCTCTTGTAGTGTTAGTGCAGCACATTTTGGGAGGTATGTAGTCAGGATTTTGCTGAAAAACATCAACAAAAACTTCAATCCCAAATAGCGTCCAAACGGTGCATTTTAGCGACTTGAGCCGTCCAGGCGAAATTGTAGGCATTTTGATTGCGCATCTGCTCCGGAACTTTGGCAAACATTGGAGCATTAGTTTTGGAGATATTTGCATTTGCGTTTGAAATTTTGGAATTATTTTTGAATTATCTGCCCTTTGCTATTGGGCCTACAGCCTACAGATTTTAAAGCGCGATATGTACACCTCGGTGGGCATCTGGGTGAATTTTTTTCAAGGCATTCTGTCCAGCGGTGCTCTCTGTAGCTCTGGTACAAAATACGGCGGAAGAATAAATAATAATAATAATTAAAGTTGCGGGCAACCTTGAGGGCTCCTTGGCTTGACTAATTTCTAAACATTTGGTACCTGATGTCGAAAGCAGTAACGGTCATAGTTTATGGTGTTTATTTTCGGGTGAGTGTAGATACAATTTCCAGCTAAAAGCACCTCTACTGCAGTGTATTTTAATGTTGTGTAGCGCTAGCTCTCGTCATTGTCAGTTGAAATTGACATCATCTCCCCTATCTGCACGTGGACCACGCTTTGCAGTGGTAGTCTCTTTATGGCAGATATCGTCCCTGCGCTTTCCTCCAGACTGTCGCATGCTTTGCACGGGTAATCTGCCGTGTCGTACATCTCCGAGAAAGTTATGACACATTCCAGACATCACAAAGTCGGCGAGCGAGTGAGTGGATTTGTAGGATTTTGACGGCTGCCTCTAACCACGAAACGGTGATATTTTGAACATGTACCTTAGAATAAAAAATGATCAGCAAACCATATACATATACATATACACTGACAATTTTCATAGCCCTCAGTAGAAAAGCAATCCAGATTAGCCACTGTAGTGAGGAAAATAGAATATTATTTGTCCCTCCGTTGTCTTTGAAGCTATGTTGCTGCAACTGGTACACACAACGTGCACTGGCGGCATAAATGCATATCCCAATTTTGGTCGAAATCGGATGGGTGGTTTCCGAGTTACGGGTGTTGAAAAGCTGGAAAACATCAGCTGTGAGGACTGGAAAACTTGACCCCTGGTCGGCTGGGGTGATGTACCTTTAAGAAGTTCCGGAGAAGAGATAGTTCGCTCTTTGACAGGCCGTAGCTCCGTTGTCCTGGGGTCTACGTTCAAAACAATTAGTGTTCTGGAATCGTCAGAACTTCAGTTATCAGACGCACCGTTTCAAGTGTCCAAACGGTGCATTTTAGCGACTTGTGCCGTCCAGGCGAAATGGTAGGCATTTTGATTGCGCATCTGCTCCCGAACTATATGGCCGACAAACGATCAAACTTTTGATATGCATGTAAGAACACGAAATGTTAAACATCTTACGTTGATGCATACCGCCAAGTTTTACTGCCTTCTGTGCGGAATCTGAGCAGCTATGCTGTTTATAATGTAGTATCACCAGAATCTGACGAAATCAATATGGCCGCCAAGCAATACACATTCTGACATGCACCCAAGAACAAAAATGTTCAACACACTTAGTTGCTACGTACTGTCAGATTCTAGCTGCATAGTTGAAATAGTTATGACGCTGCGATTTTCGAAAATACATTTTAGTACAAAATAAACAACAGAAGCAAACATCTAGATATCCGTAACTAATCAAGATATCGCAACATAGCTTATGGGCATTGATATTGAGGTATATATTGTATATCTGCACATTTACAGCATTCTGCATTTCATACATTCAGAGTTATGGCTTGCGAAAATGCCTACCCCACAAAATCTGCACGTTTCCGATAAACATCTTCAATCCAATATGGCCGCCGCATCACGTGACTTTTGACATAGGACCAAGAACAGAAAATGTTCAACAACCAAAGGCCACTTCAGAACAAGCGTTTAAAGTGTTGTATGTGCTAAGTTTAGTTTGGCACAAAATGGCAAAGAAGCCCGTGAAAGTTTTTGAAGACAACTTTTGCCCAAAAGTAGCGTCCAATATGGCGGCCATCATATAAACATAGGCATATTTGACGATGCTACTGTGTAGGAACATGCATAGACACAAAGTATGCAACGTTTGAATGCCGTAGCTCTTGTAGTGTTAGTGCAGCACATTTTGGGAGGTATGTAGTCAGGATTTTGCTGAAAAACATCAACAAAAACTTCAATCCCAAATAGCGTCCAAACGGTGCATTTTAGCGACTTGAGCCGTCCAGGCGAAATTGTAGGCATTTTGATTGCGCATCTGCTCCGGAACTTTGGCAAACATTGGAGCATTAGTTTTGGAGATATTTGCATTTGCGTTTGAAATTTTGGAATTATTTTTGAATTATCTGCCCTTTGCTATTGGGCCTACAGCCTACAGATTTTAAAGCGCGATATGTACACCTCGGTGGGCATCTGGGTGAATTTTTTCAAGGCATTCTGTCCAGCGGTGCTCTCTGTAGCTCTGGTACAAAATACGGCGGAAGAATAAATAATAATAATAATTAAAGTTGCGGGCAACCTTGAGGGCTCCTTGGCTTGACTAATTTCTAAACATTTGGTACCTGATGTCGAAAGCAGTAACGGTCATAGTTTATGGTGTTTATTTTCGGGTGAGTGTAGATACAATTTCAAGCTAAAAGCACCTCTACTGCAGTGTATTTTAATGTTGTGTAGCGCTAGCTCTCGTCATTGTCAGTTGAAATTGACATCATCTCCCTATCTGCACGTGGACCACGCTTTGCAGTGGTAGTCTCTTTATGGCAGATATCGTCCCTGCGCTTTCCTCCAGACTGTCGCATGCTTTGCACGGGTAATCTGCCGTGTCGTACATCTCCGAGAAAGTTATGACACATTCCAGACATCACAAAGTCGGCGAGCGAGTGAGTGGATTTGTAGGATTTTGACGGCTGCCTCTAACCACGAAACGGTGATATTTTGAACATGTACCTTAGAATAAAAAATGATCAGCAAACCATATACATATACATATACACTGACAATTTTCATAGCCCTCAGTAGAAAAGCAATCCAGATTAGCCACTGTAGTGAGGAAAATAGAATATTATTTGTCCCTCCGTTGTCTTTGAAGCTATGTTGCTGCAACTGGTACACACAACGTGCACTGGCGGCATAAATGCATATCCCAATTTTGGTCGAAATCGGATGGGTGGTTTCCGAGTTACGGGTGTTGAAAAGCTGGAAAACATCAGCTGTGAGGACTGGAAAACTTGACCCCTGGTCGGCTGGGGGTGATGTACCTTTTAAGAAGTTCCGGAGAAGAGATAGTTCGCTCTTTGACAGGCCGTAGCTCCGTTGTCCTGGGGTCTACGTTCAAAACAATTAGTGTTCTGGAATCGTCAGAACTTCAGCTATCAGACGCACCGTTTCAAGTGTCCAAACGGTGCATTTTAGCGACTTGTGCCGTCCAGGCGAAATGGTAGGCATTTTGATTGCGCATCTGCTCCCGAACTATATGGCCGACAAACGATCAAACTTTTGATATGCATGTAAGAACACGAAATGTTAAACATCTTACGTTGATGCATACCGCCAAGTTTTACTGCCTTCTGTGCGGAATCTGAGCAGCTATGCTGTTTATAATGTAGTATCACCAGAATCTGACGAAATCCAATATGGCCGCCAAGCAATACACATTCTGACATGCACCCAAGAACAAAAAATGTTCAACACACTTAGTTGCTACGTACTGTCAGATTCTAGCTGCATAGTTGAAATAGTTATGACGCTGCGATTTTTCGAAAATACATTTTAGTACAAAATAAACAACAGAAGCAAACATCTAGATATCCGTAACTAATCAAGATATCGCAACATAGCTTATGGGCATTGATATTGGAGGTATATATTGTATATCTGCACATTTACAGCATTCTGCATTTCATACATTCAGAGTTATGGCTTGCGAAAAATGCCTACCCCACAAAATCTGCACGTTTCCGATAAACATCTTCAATCCAATATGGCCGCCGCATCACGTGACTTTTGACATAGGACCAAGAACAGAAAATGTTCAACAACCAAAGGCCACTTCAGAACAAGCGTTTAAAGTGTTGTATGTGCTAAGTTTAGTTTGGCACAAAATGGCAAAGAAGCCCGTGAAAGTTTTTGAAGACAACTTTTGCCCA